CCCTGCGCCTGTGCCCTGACCAGCACAGGGAAGCAGGAGGACAGACCGCACAGGGTGGCCGCGCGGCGTTCCCGGGGAAGCTGGGCAGGGAAGACGGGCCCCGGACGGACGGCCTTTGCGGGCTCTGGCGTGTCCATCCTCGTTCCTCTGGGCGACGAGGACCGAGCGTGAGGCTGCCTCTGGGAAACACGGGGATCGAAGGGAGGGCGGGGCTGTGAGCGAGCCCCGGGCCCCACACTGAGGCCCGTCTGCCGTGTCCCAGGCTACCTCCCAGCTCAGACTTCGGGGCCATCTCCGTGCGCCGCGTCGGGGAGGTGGTGCCCACGCACGGCTTCTCCTCCTTCAAGTTCGTGCCCAACACCGACGACCAGGTCATCGTGGCCCTCAAGTCCGAGGAGGACGGCGGCAAGGTCGCCACCTACATCATGGCCTTCACGCTGGACGGGCGCTTCCTGCTGCCCGAGACCAAGGTCGGGAACGTGAAGTACGAGGGGATAGAGTTTATTTAAATTTTAAAGGTTCAGGCGTCAGGCGGGGCCGCGGGCTGGACGGTTTTAAGCGTCATCAGGGCTCCACTTCTATAAAAAGCCGAGGCCTGCCCTTTTGTGGTGTTTGTTTTGCTCTTTTTCTTCCCAGGACTCTGGGGTGGGTCTGGGGTTTAGAGGCTCCAGAGTAGGGGGTTCAGGCCCCTGGAGCAGCTGAGGGACCTCTCAGAGCCCGAAGGGCCACCCCCAGGGCAGGCTCCGGGCTGCCGGGCCCTGGGCCTGTGTGCTGCCCTCTGGCTGTGGAAGCTGCGCGTGGCGGGCCCGGCTCCGGGCGGCCCTGCCCTGCCTTCCATCTGGCCTCGTTTCTCTTTTGTTCAATGAATGTATCTTGGCTCCTGCCGTCCTCAAGTGCGGAGCCCGTCTGGGACACAGCAGTGACCGGGCATCTGAAGTTCCCCTGCCCACCAGGAACTCAAGCCCCCTCCGTCCCGAACCTCGGGCGCGAAGGCGGTCCCTCCTGCTTGGAGAGGACCTGTTGACACCGCAGACAGACGGACAGACGCGGCAGGGCTGTGAGCGGGGCAGCCCAGGCCGCCAGCCCGCCCTCGGTCCCCAGCCTCACATGGACAATCTGTTTCTTTGGTCGGTTCCATGTCTCCCTTCAGGAAAATTCTGTGGCTCCGTAGCTCTTTGAAGCTTTAATTATTAACTTACTCTAATTAAAGCCATCTCCTTTCTTATAAAAAGGAATCGCCAAATCTTACGACACAGAGCAAAGTCCCGCATTAAACCCCCTCCCCGCGGCGGAGGAAGTCGTAGTTGGAGCTACAGTGGTCGAGGCGGGTATTTACACACTGAGCCCTGGGCCGAGGGGCGCAGAGATGGAGGCGCCGTGCCCTCCAAGACTCCCAGGAAGGACTTGGATTTGATTTCCTGGACGAGGCGCCAGGCCCTCCCACAATTCCTGTCCCCTCCTGCCCTTCCTTCCTCCTCCTCCCGGGAGCTAGCAGCTCGTCTCCAGGGAAACTTCACACCCGCTCCGCTTGTCTCCGCGGGTCCTGGTCCCGGGGCCTGTCCCCGATGCCGCGGGGAGCAGGCGGAGGGCTGGAACGGGTCAGCCGGGACCGAGCGGAGGAGGCCCTGGCCCGGAAGCTGCCTCACCCCCAGGAGAACGCGGGCCGGGACCGTGAGAAGGGCGGTGTGGACCCGTCCCAGACTTCTCAGCGTGGAACTGACAGCCGCCAGGAGGGAGCCCGCGAGGCCCCTGTTCCTCGAGCGCTGGGCGTCCGTTTCTTCTCCTGAGACGTGAAAGCGAGAGAACGAAGGCGAGCTGTTGGCGGTGGCCCGTCTGCCTGGAGCGTGGCTCCCACTGGGCACACCTGTCCCACGTGCCCGGCGAGCGGCTCCCTGAGCCCCGCCTTGGCCAACGGCAGCGATGGGGCCGCTCCCGGTGAAGATGCAGGTGGAGTTAGGAAAGTCGGGGGACGTGGGGACAGTCACCACACGGACTCGGAGGCATCGTGTGACGCGGGGGCCGGGGCCCGCTGCAGCACTCGCCCCTCAGGGGTTGGGA